CCATTGCAAAAGAGATCTGTGATGTCAGTAGGATTTGCCTGGTTAAATAAAGGTTAATAAATAAATGTTTACTGACATCTTAGATCAGTACCAACTCTGAGAACCAGACCCTGACTGAAACATATCAGACTACTAAAGCTGGATCTGCTAACATGCAGATCTTCATTTACTGGTCTGTCTACGCTCCAACCTTCGGTTACGGTTATAAAATATGGCTCATGACCAAAAGAACAAGATTTTGGATACAAGTGTAGCTGAAATGGGCTGCCCCCATAGAGTGGCCAAACTGAAGCTGAAATACAAAGCGAGGAGCTCCTTCATCTGGGGGAGGTTGGCGTCGAGCTGCTGCTCCTCCTCGTTGAAAGGCGCTATCTGTGGTAGTTTGGGTTTCTGATTAGGATGCCTCCTTGGTGACCCCCTCTGGAGGTTTTCCATACACACCTCACAGAGGAGACCGCAGGAGCTCTGGATGAAAAACTGAGACTGAACCGAGTTTTTTGTGAGGAATGGTGTGTATAACCTGAAGGATCGGGTGTTTCTGAGTTACCAACTGAACGTTGAACAGTAAATCTAACCATCTTCTACGTGAACAGCCGGATGGGTTTGCCTGAGTCAACTACAGTACCTTCTCCAGAACAACAGCACTTGTTGCTCCTGCGAAGCAGATCCTGGAAGAAAAATCTGAGATGGATCATACGAGTCAACACCTCCCTCACTGAGCCTTGTTTCAGGAGTCGCGGCAGAGCCTTGTCAGTCTTTTTATATAGCTTTGCATTCCCCTCCCTCAGTCTTGCTAACTTTGGTGTCAGTGCTCCTTGTTGTCTAACACCAGCACAGTCAAATCATCTCAATCCTTTGTTCTTTCTTGATTTCTCTTACTGCCTGGCTGTGGAAATCAATACTGTACCTTCTGCAGGCTTCACCTTTTTTAATTTAACATCCAGTCATGGTTTATTCCTGTGCATGTGATGCTAATGGGTTTTATTCCCCCCTTCTCTTTGCCTCCCCTCTGAACAGCTCTTTGTCCCTGTCTCTTCTCTGCAGGTGCAGCAAGCTAAAGGCAAAGTGTGCTTATGTAAACATGCTCAATGTAAAACTCACAGGACCCCTTTACAGTGATTGATGAAGCTACCAAGAAATAGCCTGAGCCCTGCTCGATGTTCTTGTTTCAGCTTACACAACTTTTATCTTGCACGACTGATGGCATGTACCCGAACATGTATTTTGTTGTGGGTGCAGAGAGGTGAGTGACAGAGTCTGCTGAGCTTCACACAATCACAACATTTTGTTGGTTAAGATGGCCACTATTTTTGTAATCTTAATGGTCTTAGTTGAATTATTGGTTTTAAATTATGAGTGTGTTTGTGATATTATTAGCCAGTCTTCCACCATCTCCGGACCTCCTGAAAACAAACTGGCATTTTAGAGTCATAAAACAGGCACAAATCTAACATAATTTATCATTTCAGTCTTCAGTACCACTGTCAATTTTAGAATCTGATTAGCATTTTCCTTTAAAAAATGAATTATTTGGTCTTTTGTGATTTTTTCAAATATATTTTAGCATGTACTGTCCTTTATTTCTCATTTGTTTGTATGCAACAATCTGTACCACTGGTTGCACAAACAATCCCTTTGTTTAAGTCCAGTTCATTGCACAATATTCTCTTCATTTGAAGCCACAAGCTCAGCTTGGTCTGGTTGTAATTACAGCTGCGAGCTTTACAATAAATACCGAACATCTCAGAAAGTACAACTTTTTCGGTAATCTGAAAACTAAAGCAGTTTGGCAAAACTTGAAGACAAATGTCACAACATTCTTGATGATTAACCACCAAGACATTTCTGCTTTACTGGAAGTTAAACCAATAATCGGTCCTAGAGCCGCACTTCCTGGAATGAGATGGAAAACTAAGCTTTTTCTGCTCAAACTCAAACCTTCAGGTTATAACTGGATTTTGGGCTTCCTGTTAGAAATCTAACAGACAGTGCATGTCAACAGTAAGATGCACAAAAGTCCCTCAGGGACGTGTTCTTGGTCCTTTGACACTCTGCAGCAAGGGCAAAAATTCCACCTCATTATTGGGGGGTCAATAAACTGGGAGTTTTAAGAGAAATTTTTGAAGGGGTCCCATAAGATACAGTCAAATGTATTGTTGTAAAATGAAATGAAAATTAATTAATCTTTGTTTTTCCAAAATGGGATGGGGGCCCAGACCCACCCTCTTGAGATTTCCACTCAAGGGCGACAGCACCAGGTATAGCACAAATGAGCTCATTAATCCACTAACAGTGGTGGGACTCATTACTAACAAGGACAGATGTTACAGAGCAGAGATGGAACAGTTATAATAATAATAATAATAATGTCATCACAATGTCAGCATTGTATGTTTCCATACAATGGCGAAATTAGTCTCTGCATTTAACCCATCCACCACCAGGTGGTGCAGTGGGCAGCTATTGAAAGCGCCCGGGGGACATTTTGGGGATGAGACGTGCTGCCCAGAGACGCCACGTGATGTGCAGTGACTGGGGATCGAACCTGGGACTTTTGGGTCCCAAGCCGGCTGCCCTGCCTCTACACCATCTCGGCCCTCATTAGTGAAGTAACGTGGAGACAGTAATCCATCCTTTAATGTCAACAAAATTGTTAGAGAAAAGTCTGATCAGTGGCTCTTTTTTGGAGCAGGTCAACATCACTGAAGATCTCTGTTGTTTCACCATCAACACCAGATCAAAAGCTCTGCAGATGATGCACCTGTTGGAGTTATCCTATTATCATGCTGAGACCCCCGATTTTGTCTGCACAAAGTCGGACTATTTATGGCCCGGTTCTGTACAGATGAGACGGCCCAACTGCTCTGAGCGAGCTTCCAGGGTCAACATCCAATAAGGAGTATTTTTATTTTATTTTTCTGGCTTCCACCATGTAGATAGATTGCACTTTCACCCATTTTTTCACCATCAGAAACAGATAAGGCCGATGAGGTCACACACCCCACTGATACACTCTGATAGGCTGTGCTCCAGGAAGTGAAGGCGGAGCCAAGGGCCAATATATAAACTGGGGCTTTCTGTAAAATGGGGCTTCCGCTACTGGGTTAAGACGAGTTGGACGGATGCCTCAGAACTGAAACTGTAACTGTCTCCTGCCTGATGAACATTAAATTAGTAAACAGAAATTATGTTTCTTGATTTATTTGAGTTAGAGCGAGTTTCCTCTCCATCTGGAAATAAAAGAACCAGACGCCGGAAGTAGAGAGTTGGACCGGTTCCAGGGACGGACCCTGTCCATATTCTCACAAAATGATGCAGAAACTCGGGAACGAACCAGGAACCTTTAGATACTCTCAGCTTTCTTCTTAACTTGCCTTCTCTTAACTTGGCCACAAGTTAAAATTGTGCTTCAAATTCAAACAATATTATCAAGAACAACTGATGACCAGGTTTTCAACCGGATGTAAGAACCAGGGTAGTCCATTTTTGAGGAGGTGCACTTCACCCTGAACTGGTTGCCATCCATCACAGTGCTGACTCAAAGAGCCTTTTGCTGTTTTTATTTTCCTCTTTTCTCTCTACACTTTCAGAGCTGTACTTTTACACTTTTCAGAAACAGCTTGAAATACTGGGCACCAAGAAATGGAACTTGAACTGTTAAGTCCACCAACAAAGCTGGATGAGTCATTCATGTCATTCTCTTATTTGTGCTGCTTTGTATTAACCAAACACGCACACACACAGTTAGAGGATGACACTGTGTTGGGTTTGAGGAGATGTTTGGGATTCCCTAACAGAAAGGTGGACAGTGCTCTCGGTCACTCCTGATGTGAGCAGGAAAAACCTACTGCAAGTTTCCCATCTGTTCAACTCCACAGTTTTGGCATCACACACTCAAACACACACAAAGTTGGTGAGTAAAACCAAGCATTTTAACACCAAAGACACAGTGACCACTTAGATCATTTGTAAAAACACCTAACCCAGTATATTTATAAGATCTATAAGGCATTTTGGATTAGGACGAGTGGGACTGCCAATAATGTACAACTGAATAACAAACAACATGCTTTAAATTCATCAGACACTGACGAGAGGCGATCTAAATTAAAATCACCCACCAGAACAATTTCCTTGGAAGTGTAAATTAGATAAAAGCTGCATTAAAGATAATGAGGTTTCAGCTGTGACAGAAGGGGGTCTGTAACCAACAACAAACAAAGACTGACCACCAGACACACCAACATTTAGTGCTAAGATTTCAAACTGTTCTGGAGCTGATTTATCAAGCACCAGTTGTGTTGCAAGACTAGATCTGACATAGATTGCTGCATCCTCTTCATTTCTTGGACGATATGAACGACAAATATTAAAAGCCGTAAATTGTTACATCTTTGTTCAGAATAAAGTTAGTTAACCAGGTCTCAGAAATAACAATAATATCAGCACCAGTTGAGCAAACTCATAACCTCAGCATTTTTATTTTATTTTATTTGGGAAGGATGCTATGAGCATTAATGTGCAAAATATGTGATCCTGGCATATTTTTAAAGTCTACTGGGGTGCTGCATGAGGTGAGAGGGCCAGGATTAGGGTGAATACCAGACAACAATAAAAGCATCACAATCAAATATTTCCTGGTGTTCTTTGTGGCAGAAGTATAACTGCTGGAGTTGATATTGCAGCACTTGGTCTCCATTGTCTTTTTAGATGAGATGTATTTAAAGAGATACAAACAGAACCCAGAAGCAATGAAGTTGGCATGGACGGACAAGTTTAGATGTAGCAACATGGTTTAACCATAGAGAATGTCCAAAACAATAATTTCCTTGAGCAGATGTTGCAAGACTTGTTAATATATGTGGATGAACAAAGTCTATAGTCTCAACACCATGGCTACTGAGGAACCATGGTATAATCACAACCAGTGTCTCATTCAAGGCAGAACAAAGTGGCATCTTAGCTGAGAAGTTCATCCACCCTCTGCTGTTTCATCCAAGACACCTACAACTAGCAACCCTGACGATGTTAACAGTGCAGCTCGAGCCAAAGCTTGGACTGTTGATGAACAGCTCCAGCCGAACACTAACTTGGTGGCTAATGGTGGAGAATTGCAGGCCCAGATTCAAGCCCTGACGGCTGACAGACGGGTCCTGGCTTGGTACTGGGTCTTGGGGCCTGGTTTTCGCCCTGAGACAAAGCCTAACAACTAGGCCTTCTGACAGGTAAGGAGCCTGGGCTAGGCCAGGTAGCTTTTCCTGGTGGCTGATGGAGAAACCCAGCTGGGCCCAGCAGCAAGTGGAGAAGCCTGCTAGGTCAGGTAGTTGGGCCTTGTGGCTAGTGGAGAAGCCCAAGGGGCCAGGATGCTGATGGAGAGGCCTGGACTGGACCAGTTATCTGGGACTGGTGGCTGATGGAGAAACCAGAGGAGGTTGACCTCCTCAAAATTAACTGAAATGTGGCAAGAGGCTAACTAAAAGCTAAATGTGGCGAGAGGCTAACTAAAAGTTAAATGTGACGAGAGACTAACTAAAAGCTAAATGTGGCAAGAGGCTAACTAAAAGCTAAATGTGGCAAGAGGCTAACTAAAAGCTAAATGTGGCAAGAGGCTAGAATTTAACAAGATTCACACTTAAAAACAATTATTTGTTCCCTTGAAATTATAGCAAAGGTCTGTCTCAGTTGAACTTTTCATTAATAAACGCACTTTAACAGTCAGATCAGCTGCATTTCGCCCGGGCGGCGCGGCGAAATGCAGCTGATTTGACGTTTGCTCCAGGAGTTCTAGAGCGAGACGAAGGTGGCTTTGTATGGCAAGCAAAGTGTATCATTAATAGCCACTTTTACCTATTAATGAGACACTTGGCTTGCCATATTAGTCAACCGCCCTCTAGTGGCTGAAAATGGTAGTGTTCAATATTTTCCATGTTAGAATGAATAAAACCGTGAGATCTCAGTATAAATATGGGAAAAAACATAAATATGTCGCTTCGCAGTATAAGTCGTAGGCATGCTAATTTATGCAAAAAACTGTGACTTATACAGCAAAAACTACGGCATATAGCGCCTTTCTATCTTATCAAGATACTCAAAAGCACTTTACACTTGAATCTGTGCCCTCATTTACCCATTCATACAGCAGACTAATCAGTGCTTTATCACATTCATACACCGATGGGACACACATCAGAGGCAATGAGGGGTTCAGTGTCCTGCCCAGGGACCCTTCAGCATCTGACTGCTGGTAGAATCAAACCCCCAACTCTCACATTGGAGGACGACTGTCAGACCTTTCTGTCTTTGTTGACAGACCTGTGGATTCAGAGAGAACTGTTACGATGTCCGCCCGCTTTGCAATCCCACCACAGAGCAGGGAATCAAGTCCCAGTTGGTGTTCACCTACACCTGAGAAGACCCGACAAGACGAGAACCGACTCGAGTCGTACCTCTCAGTGGAAAAGCGGCAGTGTGTGTGTAGCTGCGTTGAATAATTGCAGATCAGTTTGCTGGAGTAGTGTTTAAATGTGCACCATAGTTATTTTTTCTTTTTGATACTTTCTCTGTTATGTGGATAAACGGTGTACCCATCACCATTCATGTCATTGTTTGGGGTGGGCCCTGTGGATGCATCCTTCAGCAAGTATGAGAGGAATATGATGCTTTGGCTCTCTTCTAGCCAGGAGACTTATTTTATGCAGATGGATGGATCCGCACCCCCCGGGCATATTATGAACACTGGATAAGAGAAGTTATCTGGAAAACATTAGATATACTTTGAAAGGTTCTACTGAGAGATTTTGGGACACTTGGCAACCATATGTATGTGCGTGTGTGTGTTCTGCAAAAGAAATTAAATAAATGACTAATTAAAAAGAAAAACTGCATCATAGTTCAAGAAAACAATTATTTTTTGTCTTTGATTCCATTGTGTTTGCAAAGAGTTCCCAAATGACACAAAATCAACAACCGTGAGATTTTGATATTTGTTAAACTGACATCACACGGTGAATTTTAATATAAAAACTAAATGTACACAAGTATTAAAACCATTCTTAAATAATATACAATTACATTTTAATTAAAAATCAAACAATTAAGGAGTTTCACCTGAAACTTAATATATATGGATAAAACATTTCAGAAACTGTTTTAACTGTAGCTTTAAGCTACTGTCATGCTGCCTATATAGCTTTTAGCTAACCTTTTGCTATGTTTAGTTTTTAGCTACCTTTTTGCTACTTTTAGTTTTTGGTTAATGTTTTCCTACTTTTAGTGTTGAGCTAACATTCTGGTACCTTCTGCTATGTTTAATTTTTTTTAGCTATTTCTTTTACGTTTAGCATTAAGCTATTTTACTACTCATGGTTTTGAGCTACTATCCTGCTATCTTTAACTTGTAACTCAAATTCTGATACATTACATTTATAGCTACTCTCCTGCCACCTTTAGCTTTTAGTAACATTTTCCTACTTGTAGTTTTGCTTTTATCTAACTTTTGAAACTTTTAGTGAGCCGCCGACCTCAGGCTGCATTTAGTTTTTAGCCACTTTTCTGCTACACTGAGCTTTTATTCAAATGTTTGCTACATTTACTTTTTAGCTATCCTTCCGCTGTCTGACTTTTAGCTAACATATTATTACATTTAGTTTTTAGCTACTATCCGGCTATCTTTAGGGTTTAGCTTGCCTTTTGCTACTTTTAATTAGCAGTTACCATTTTTGCTACCATTCTGCTACCTTAAGTTTTTTGATAAGTTGTGTTTAGTTTTAGCTATACCATTCGGTTACCTTTAGCTTTCAACAAGCCTTTTTCCTCCATTTAGTTTTAGCTTTTCATTCGCTTAGCTTGCCTTTTGCTACTTTTAGCTGGTGTTTTTCTACTGAATGCTTTTAGCTGATGTTTCATTCTTTTTTAGCAGTTTTTTTTAAAGCTTTTAACTAGCTGTTAACTTTAAGCTACCGTTTCACTATTTTCCTTTAATTTTTAGCTTTTGTTTTGTTTAGATTTAGCCACTCTGGTCCTTTTAGCTTTTACCTATTTAGATCATTTTAGGTTTTAATTAGCATCATGCTAACTTTTGTCCAGCTCAGTTTCAACTTCGGTCCTTCAGCGCTCTGTGTTTTAGCTGCGTTTTCACAGATTCTTCGGCTGTGTCCTTTTCTTCCTGCAGATTTCTGTGAGCTGTTAATGAACTTTAGCTGCTGTTGTGGCTGTAAAATCAGCAAACTGCCATCTCGATTCAAACAAGTTCAGTGTTTGTTTTTTTAAATGATCTTTATTTTTTTTTTTTTGCAACTGGGATGAATTTAAATTGAACCTTAAAGCCATGAAGGACACACATCCTCAGTCACAGTTTGTTTCTGATCTGTGTTTTGGTGAAGT